TCGTCAGCCAAAAACAAATAAACAAAGTGGGATATTATAACAGGCCTTCCCAGGCGAAGAGGTGACTTTGTTGTAATGTAACCGTGTGGAGTGAACCACTGCTTGCTGTGATGAATACGGAGTCAAACGGAAACTGCTGTATTGAGCGAACAACAAAGTGAGGAAGGAAGAGAGTTCCAGAGGAACGAGAGCTTAAATACAGGATGCCAGCAGCGCGCACGTGACACATACTACATGCTGCGCTACACGTGATCAACCCCTAGTTCCTCCAACTCCGTAACAATAAATGTTTTAATTTCTTTAAAAGATATTTATAGTATTAATATCTACTTAACTTATAAGTATAGCTTCTTTTACTTAAAATCTAGGTTTCTTAATAGAAGGATTAGGTTGTTTTCGATAATAAGTAAATCTTTAATAGTAATAAGAGTAATAAATCCTATTAATTTAGATATCTAAAAGGAATTAAAAAAAACTAGAAGCTAAGCTTACCTAAAATGAACCTTAGCTATTTATATAGAATAATAGCTATTATATAATAAGTTATTTATAAGCATAATTTTTTATCAAAACTACGTCTTTAGTTAGATATTTAAGGTTTTGTACCTACTATTAGTATTAGGAAAAGTATGTATTAGGGAAGGTTTTATACCCTGGGCTGGTGTTAGGAATTTCCTAACGTAAAAAGTTAATAAGTTCCCAGAGGGCTTATATTAATTAATTAAGCGATTAACGATAATTAGGTGTTGTGCTGGGTCTACTTTCTCTTTTGCTCCACTTCCTTATTTGATCCACTTATAGTTCTGCTGCCTAAATGCTTCATGTCTGCCTAAACCTTACACTCTTTATATAAACACCTTAGATAGCTACCTTTTACAAGGCAATCAATTCTCCATGACCTTCAGTACCCAATACCCTTTCAACCCAATATTAGGAGATACTCTTAATTAGATTGACTTACATTAGACCTCTATTCTAAATTCTAATTAGTTTTTATACTATTTCCTACTACCGTTTAACCTCCCTTCTATCCTTCCCTCTCTATTTCTCCACACCCTTTTTCTACCCTACTTTACCTAAAATATAAAAACGTAAAAACATCCCATTCTTATACTTTTACTCTACTCTACTTACCGCGAATAACAATCTATCTCCCCCTCTTCATCTCCTCTTTATCTCCTCTTTATCTCCTCTTTATCTCCTCTTTATCTCCTCTTTATCTCCTCTCTCCCTCTCCCCCTACCTCACTTACAACAACAATAATTACGACAGCACTAGCGACTACAAGACTAACACTATAATGAATCTTCCTCATAAGCATATAACAACCCTAGCATCACCCAACAAATAAAAACAGGAACCGTACTATCACACTCTCCCTTACAATCTACACAAGTTTATTACTCCATACCCTATCCACCTATATATATACCGTAATTTCATATCTCCTTCAAGACTACTAAATCCATACATCATACAAGAGCCCTGATATTCCTTCCAAATGATGACTTTCCCAGGCATTAGTCATAAGGTTTAAAAAATACAGTACCCCTCTTTTCAGAATCCCATTTACAGTATTTGGTCCGCCCACTAAAAAAGCTATAAAAGATGAAGGAATAGAGAGATATTCTTTTTTATTTAATCTGATTTTAACAAGCAAACATCTAAATTGTTTACTATGATTTTTTAATTAGATCAATCTTTTTCCTTTTATTTGACATTAAAGGATATCTTTTAAAGTAGTTGTCTATAATATACAAAATTTCGGGTTTTCTGTAAATAGAATATTGAAAAGCTTGTCTAGAATCAATTATTTCAATTCTACCTGAACATAATATTATCTATTAATATTAGTTCACCTTCAATTTTTTATTTGCGAAAAAAAAAAAAAAAACTCATACCTACAACCCCACACTCATCTCAAGAATCCCCCCCAAAGAAAGGAAGGAAGAAAGCAAGAAGAAAAAAGGGAATAGTTAGTACGTCTTCCTATCTGCGCTATCGCTTGAGGTCAGCAGAAGCAAGTGAACCTATCTAGCTTAGGGGTTATTAATAACAGCTAATTTTTAAGCTATAAACCTTTATGTAGGCCTAAAATAAAGACCTTAATCAGCTCTATAATATAACAACTAAAGAGCTAAATACAACCGTAGCGCCTTAAGATATTATTAATAATAAAGATAAGTACGTAGGGAACGTACTTTTACACGTAAAAAGCCGCATTTATACCGTGCCCTCGCGTACCCTACGAAAATCAAGGTAAGGTAGGAATACTAAAAACACGTCTGTATCGCCTGCGAATTGTATCTAAAAAACATACTGTTTTAGTATATAATATTCCTTATTGTACCTATAAATCTATCCTATTTATATGTCTTTTCGGTAAGTAGAGGTGGCGCGATATAGTGGGAAAGAGCCGCATAGACGTACCTATGGGGTTCACTTGCTTGCCAGGTTCACTTGCTTCCGCTGACCTCAAGCGATAGCGCAGATGGGAAGACGCACTGACTATGAGCGAATCATCACACACACAAAAACCTAAAAATTACCTACTAATCTCCTATTCTATACACATTCCCCATTTGCCTACCCAGTCTCCCTGTCCATTCCCATTCTCCATTTCCCACCCCTATAAACCCGCCCTCGCCTCACCATTTCATCACTGCAATTTCAAACTCTCCGCATCAATCGCAGCAAACAACCCCTTAACCTCCTTCTCCACCTTCCCAATCTCATCCGCCAACTGGCCCGTCACAAGCGCATACGCATACAGCAACTCGTAATCCCCATCGGTGGCGATGACCACACTCGGATCTTCGGAGTTCGCGGCCATCTTCCGGTACTGGAAGATCTTGGTGAGGAGTCGGTCGCGCGGGTTGACGGCGTCGGGGAGGCCGTCTGACATCGGGTATTCGAGTTTGAGGGAGCTGGCGAGGACTGTGTATTCATAGAGTAGGTTAGTGGGGTGGGGATGAAAGTAGGGGGAGAAGATGAATGTAATCTTACCTTGGAAAAGATGACTTATCCGACCGCATAGTTGTGTGCGTTCTGCTATGGTATATTTGAGGAGTGATACTTCCCCTTCACTTGGGTTGACATCTTTCTGAATGAGGACATTCATCGCATGGAAAGCATCAAGCATCTTGGACGTAGATTCCATGATTCGTCCATATGCTTTCCCTGGGAAAGGTCCCCGCAATTCAAATTCGCTTGCTGCGGCACGTCGGAGAGCATCAAGTCGTAAAACTGTAAGTGTGTTAGCAACGACTCGGTCAGAAAGATAAATCTATCTTACCATATTGCTGAAGTGAGAGTTCCTCTCGGAGATTAAGGTACGATTCGGCTGAATCGCCTTCCAACAACACAGAGAGTGGATCTCTTTTCCAAATCAGACCCATTCGTAACCAAAGCAAGGAAAGACCATCTTTAAATTTCTGTCGAGCAGAGATGGGCCAGATAACCCTCGCAACAAATAATCCCCAAAGAACTCCCGTGAGAACAGATACCACTCTATGTGAGGCAATCTCTATGATGGCCGGTGTTTCGCCACCCTCATCCTCATCATAATCGCCCTCCCGAACCGACAAGCTGTACGCGTATAAACATGACAAATTATAAGTAAGAATGGTAAAGCGTCCAAGTGGACCTTTTCCCCTCGCAACGATGAGATAGAAGCAAGGAATACTGAATAGCCATCCACAAAACGCCAAAGCGTAAGCATTGCCCCGACAACCTGACCAAACCAGTGTGGCAGATATGGCTCCAACAAATGTTCCAACGAATCGAGCATATCCCGTAGTATTAGAAGCGCCAATCGTCATACTACATACCAGCATAAAAGAAACGAGTCCCCATTCTCCTCTCCAGTGGCGATAAATTGGTCTTGTTTCTGGTATGAAAGCAAACACGGACCACAGTGCAGCCCCAAGACCGACTTTGATAGCAAAACGTACTGAAGATATGTCAGTAAATGGGTTATAAATTTGGGAGAAGAATTGTGCTTACTGTCGTCTCGTTCTAGGAATCTAACCACCCTCAATATTACTCGATATAATCCGCTTTTGGCGCTCTCTTCTCCTTCATGGTCAACTTTCCATGAACCATGCTGTCTCCTCTTTAATACCAAATCTGGATTGTCTTTCGGCCCATCGGATTCACCATTCTGATCAATGAGAGGCTCCTGTTCTGGATCGGTATTCGTTTCTTGATCTTGGCCTGGTTTTGACTTTTGCCAAAATTTCAGCCAATTCCATGACCGTTTTGGATTTTCAGTACTTTCTTTAAGGTCTTCAAGGATTGACAGGAATCGTTGCATATCTTCGGCAAAATCTATGAGTGAAAAGCTAAAATGTCCGCAACTTGCAGCCACCTCTTCAAAATCGGCTTCCACACTCGCAGGTCGCTCACGACTTATGTCTTTAGATTCGTATAATTCCTTGAGAGCGTCGTCTCGAGCGCCGCTGTACATCTTCCTACAACAAAGTTAGAAGGTGTCGGCGTATGTGAAAAAGAACAACATACAATGCATCTGTTAAACTTGTTTGAAAATTTTCGTTGATCGCGATGCAATAATTTGGACCAGGTCCGAAAGGTAATTCATCAAGGATTTTCGTTAGTGTATATGCCAAAGACTTCGTAGAAGGGCCCAGATGTGTAATAAAACGAGAGAAAATCTCCGGTGGGGTCCGCACAGCAGAACTTGAGGGAGTCTCATTACTGTCAGGATTAGGTGGTGTTTTCCTCCTTGCGTGCTGATCCTCGGCCCCACTGCCTTCCTCAGAAGCTTCCTCGATAGCTGTCAACACTGCGAACCTAGAATTTGAAGGAGTAATCGGTCCACCATCTAAGAATGGGTCTGAGAAGAGATTTAAATCTGGCAAGCTTGAACCATTCGCATAAGGAAGCTCTCGGAGTAGTGCAAACTGGGTGGCTGCTGCACTTCGCAAGCCACCAATGCAAGTCGCCAGTCTTTGCATGCATTTCACAAGTTTGGCTTGCTTCTTGTACTGTTCCTCTCTCCCAAGAAAATAGTGTTCAAATCTTGCCTCTCTCAAATTCTTGGTCATTTGAGTGTAGACTTGTTTGTATTTGCTGTGTGCTTTGTTGAAAGAGGATGAGCGCATGTCAGTCTCAGAGCCACTCAGGAAGCCCCGAGTAATAATTGAGAGCATGCTCGAAAGCGAGTCTGTCGTCCTAATCATGGTTTCCTTGAGTTCTTTACGAGCTGAAACTGGCCATATCAACATGCAGACGGCAAAAGATGTAGACAAGCCCATGATGACCATCTTCATCACTTGGATAATTTTCTGGTCCTCAAAAACTCCAATTTGAACAGCATTTTCCTTGGTAAGAACTGTAATGATGGCAATACTTGTGGTACTGGCTGCGACGCTGACCAAGGGCGTATTGAACTTTTGTTTCGTCCATCCGACCAGTCCAAGACCACCTCCGCAAAACACGACAACGATGAGAACATAAGCCACACTTATTAGGTGTAGCTGTGACTCAAAGTATACTGCCACAGCCATACTCAGGATGGAAATGAACGTTGCATAGAAAAAGGCGGCCAGTCCTAACAACGCACCCTCTTCCATCGACCCTATTGACCTTGCTGGATGAAAATAAACGGTAATCGTAGCGACAATATGTTTCCCATCTTGTTTTCCCAGAAAATTCGCTATAGATGGGAGAAATGTAGCCATGCTCCCGATCAAGTATGCCATTGAGCATTTGAGTACACCCTTGCCCATGGGGGTCTGAAACCACTGCCATAATTCCCTAATTGAGTCTTTCGTGTTATCAACCGCGGATCGAAAGGTGCCAGCTCGCGAGTAGGTTCGGCGCAAAGGGAGGAGGCCATCTGAGCGAGCTGATGGAGCAGAGGATGGAGCCTCAAAACCCGCCGTATTTCTCAGGGTTATTTGGCGTCGCACTCGTTCGCCGGTCGAAGGCAATATAAATGTGCCATTTCTGAGTTTCTGTCTCGTCGGAAAAGGATTAGTTTACAGCTGTTGTACGAGGGAGAATGGTGGCAAATGTACGTTACGGCGCGACCAGCGTGAAGATCTCCGGGTGGATGATTGTGGTGGTGCAGAACCGCCTGGAGCGGACGGGGAGCTCATCTTATTTCTCTCATGGTTTGGGAGGTTGACGATGGGTGTTTGAGGCTCACAAAGGTCGTGAGCTGGAGTTCTCGAAGTTATCTCGTGGCAGCAGAGTTTACTGAAGCTTTCCAGCCTCAAGCTTGAATGTCCGATTTTCACGCTCTCTGACGGTGTCTGCAGGGAAGGCTCCTCGACTTTCTGTTTCCCCAGATTCTCATCCTTGGCACGCTCTTTGACCCTGTGCCACATCTTTCTCCCGCCTCCACCACTCACAACCACATCACCACAGCACCTCTCATTACAGTCACTTGCCCAACATACACATCACATCGCGTGCATCGACTAGTCACGTATTGATCACACTACTACTGCCACGGAGTAGCCCTTCGATATCTCTATCCAACCACCATCATGGGTCATGTATCAGCCGCCAGTTCTGGGAAGGGGTCCAATGAAGGTCCCTGAGATGACTGCCGCTTCGAGCCGGCTCGAGCCGCTCCTGATGGAGGTTGAGGGAATTGATATTTATATCTAGATATCCGTATGGTTTGATTCAAGTAGTTCAACATTACAGAATTCAAGCACAGCATGAGCCGGATAAGATGGGGTACACCCGGTGAGTAGAATCACCCCACACTTGTGTTTATGGTGATGAGACGAGTTTGGGTTACAAAGTGAGTTATATCTTGATGGTATAGGTATAGATGACGTAATATTTAGCCCATGTGACTTTGCAACTGAGTTATGATTAACCTGAACACAGAATAAGCATCGTGATATCAAAAATAATTGGAACTTCTAAAGTAGATTAATACCTTAGGTAGCTAGAGCGAGCACTTGTAACTGGGGACTTATCCGCAAACTAGACTGAGGACTGAGACGCGACGAAATATTACTTGTTTTTGTGGCCCAGCCGAATCAAAAAAAAACTGTTAAGACTAAGCTACACTAGCCCAAAGTGACTGGTCAGTGACTCTGGTCAAAAATTCAGAATTGTAGTCAGATCTCTATAGGCTATTTGGCCATAATTGCTGTATTTTGAAATGGTAATCTATGTTATATATACATAACTACACTCTTTTTGGGTGGTTCCTCACTGGAGGTACTACTTTTGTAATTGAAATCTAGCCTGTTCCATGGATGTGAGAAAATTGAGCATATATAAAAGAAAGATATTATTGAAGAAAGTGATTATTCCTTTACTGGATAAATTGCTGTCAAAGTTGTTGACTTAGAAGATGTGAGTGATATGCTTTAATAATGTCATCTAATTAGTGATATTCAGGTAAACACTAGTAATAATAATTATAGAACCAGCTAATTCTACATACCGGTAGCTATATACTCAAGATCGTTGAATTAAAGTCTGAACCATTCCTGGTATACTATGTTTCAATAGAGGATATCTGAGAACACGTTCAACCCTAGATTTCCACATGGGGCTTTTCTAAAGTTGTTATTAAAAGAACCTAAAATAAATCTATTAAGTAAATATATATCTAATATTATCGAATATGGGGATCTGATACACCGTTTACTTCAAATGTTCATCTCACTTGGTAAGGGACTTAATTGGGTCAATAATATTAGAGGCATACTACAATTTTGTTGGGCCAGATCCATCCTCGTTTAAGTCAGCTGATACGTGCCCCTCACATAAACAAGCGAATCTTTGCGACCATTCAGAAAATGACTGCACTCAAATTCGATAGAGGAAAGCGATAGGAAAAAAGACATAACAATTTTATTTTCATAAATGAAGTCAAATCACTACAAATGGTGATCTACAGAAACAGAGATGAAGTACACCATTACTCACGTTTGCCCCCTCAGAAATACAGCACCTCCACCTTAATTGTCGCTCACATCAATCTTCTGGTACCACTTCAGTTCTTAGCTGTAGAAGCCTTTCGAGATATAATCCCAATTAGTGCAGGAACTCTTGAAGTGGCCGTATTCTCCGCAAAGAGCACAAAGATTATAGCAGTTGCGCGAACTATGGTTCTCCCCACAGAATCCACACTGCTTCTTCTTTGGATATCGTCTCATACCACGATCTTCCTGTTTTTCTCGGCGTTCCTGTATCTGAGCTAAGGTTCTCGATATCAAATCCTCTCCAAAGTCCGCTGGATAATACTCCAAATCTCCAATGTATGGGTAGTGTATTTCAGTCGTGCGAATATTAATCTTCTGGAGAGTCGTGATTCTTGAGATCGATTGCTCGAACAACTTTGTCAGTCCATCTTTGATATTCGTTGGACGCCATGGAGGAACGATAGGAAGATTGTTCGGGTTGGCAACCGACAAGTCTTCGCTAACGATAAAGCCATCATTGAGGCGGGAATCTGAACATGCGAGAATATTGAGCTTGATGAGGCCAGTGCAGAATCTAGCCATGAAGTTGACGTAGATCCGCATGCTTCGAATCAAATCGTGATCACAACATTTACAATTGACGCACGTATGGCCCTTAACGATACCATCAAACTCGAGGTGCTTGATTAAGGCTGCGTTTCGTGGACGGATGGTGTACAAGAAACGTAGGAACGGATCGTAAAAGAGCCAACCGGGGAGCATTCGCCAAGGATGGTTGTGTGGAATACGACTCATGCCATCCTTTACAACGCCGCGGATACTTTCCGGTCCAGGCTTAGTGGCACTTGTATGAAATATAACCCCAGACGAACCCACCACTGGTCTAGACGAATAAGTGAACAAGGAGTTGGCCATCTCAAAACGGAAAATATTTCCACCATACAAGATACCCGAGCCTTCTTCATAAAGCTTCTTACAAGTCCGAAGACATGTAGCATCGATGGTAAAACGCTTGATAAGCCGCTTTTCGAAGTAGGTACCTTTCTCATCATGTCTTCGGACATTGGCGTACTCCGGGATTTCGTTTTGAAGCGTATGACCCTTCTCAGCATAGATTCTGTATGATGTTGTTCCTGTTGGCTGGTCTCGATTCTTTGCGGTACCTCCAATAATTCAGGGCTTAACAACTGTCAATGGAGGAGATACTAGGACGAATTGGAGAACTCTAAGGCGAAGTTCTAAGTACAGGTTAGCCGCCGATCTCGAGAAGATTGAATGTTGTGTCTACCTGGTGGCCAGTTCAAAATATGGCACTTGTGATTTCGCGGCACTGCCCATCCTTTTCCAATAAACTCACTGCGGTGCCCAGTAATCAAACGGAATCCTTCTGGGCTCGGTTGATCGACATGGCTCAAGGGAATTGGTTTAAAAAGGTGGTGTATTGAGTGGCGTCCTTTTGTACAACGCGCTCGACGAACTCCTTGTACTTGAGTTCAGGATCGTGGCCGTGGTGAGTCTTGTATTTGTAGTGGATGACATCTAATTTTGTTAGCATACAAGAATATCTTCTACTAGAGACCTCTGTAGGTGAACTTACCTGGTCCAAAGACGCATCTCCGTCCAATTGTATCGGTGAAGAAGACTCCCTTAATCTTGTACTTGGCGACATAGTTATCTAAAGCCGCATCTTGGTCGAGTTGTGGATCGTCTTCCGCCAATCCACGCTTGATTTCCTCGAGGTCTTCTTCTTTGAGAATCTCCTGTGGTGGCGCCATTTGGCTATCGAAATCATCTGCTAATCTAATTAGCTTTCTGTCTTGCAAACTAGACAGTGAAACTAGGTGAGCTCCAAGAGGAAAGCAGGGCTTACTTGCGTAGTTATGACAGAGATCTTTATTGTATGAGTATTGCTTCTGAAAAACTTGTAAGAGGATATTCCTCTGAACAGAAATGTAGATGCGAATACTGTGTAATGGATCGCCTTCAAAAGACGAGGAAGGAGTGGATTTGCCGTGCCTGAAGTTAGTCTTTTTGTAGAGGATGGAAAGACTATGTTGTGGTAGAAGACAAGGAATGCATTCAAGATGCTGTGAGTTATATAAAGGCTTCTGGAGCTTCCATGGACCCTGGTCACCACAGAAAACATACGTGGGCAAGCAGCATGATTTCAGGGTACAGGACATACGAAAATCCGGTGAATTCATGGTTGTAGGGGCTTTGAATCAAGTGTAGTATTTGCTGTAGTCCATCAAGGGTGGCTCCAGAGTCCAAGTGTGCGCGAATTTTATTTCGTGAATAGCTTCCTATGAACACTGCTGTTGCACAGCACTGAGAAAAGTTCGCGAAGTGACGCAAAGAAGAGATGATAGATGCAGAAGCTGATAAAATTTATTTCAGATATACGAAGGATAAGTGAGGAGCGACTTAAACTGCGTAGAAGATGTGGAATTCATTTCACTTTATACTAAACCACAAGCCATGAAAAGCATGCAGCCCCAGTCATGTGCCAAACTCAGAGCAGATATTATGGGGATCTATAGAATAGCAAACTTGGACAGAGGAATATCACTTCTACAGTACACATTCCATCGAAAAGTCAAAATATCTGATGAGAATCACCAGTGAAATGTACGTACTCTAGAATCTATATTGTCACGTGCACGTAAGCGAGTTTCCCCCTTAACCTAAACCAAAGCAAAACAAGATTCTGATTTCACAAAGTTTTCGACTTCAAGACAACACGTGGCTTCAGTGTTTTGTGTTATTTGTTTTTGTTATTTTCTTGGGTATTGAAATTTACCTTCTAATGCTGGTGGCTCAGAGAAAGCAAACAAGGAGGTACCTGTGTTCTGGTTACACGGAGTCGCTATGGGGATGCTAGGCTGGCGGATCAAACTCCTTATAGGTAGAAGCTCATGGCCCACGCTTTTGGTTCTCAAGCACAAACAACCGTAGATCATCTGCGCGCCCACACCTATTCTTAGGATCCCAAGGGCTTTGATCAGAGCGGTTGATATTTCTCCTCCACTGAACTTTGCATTCATCCCCAGCATACTCTCTTGCAACGCTGCACTATCCTGCAGGTTTTCTCGAATATCCTCCTCCTTGGAGACAAGTAACTCCTCGGCGACATACCAGACCACCTCATCGCGAAGTACCCGTGGTTGGCAAGTCAACATTACCAAGGACTCAGTGAGCGAGATCTGAATATGCTTATCTACAAGACGGAACATCTTGGGGAGAGCGCTTTCTTCACAAATACCATTACTGGTGATCGGCGTGTTTATAGACCTGGTAAGTATTATCAAGCTTCTCGGGACCTAACTAACAAGACTAGGTGTTATGGACTCCAACCAAATACAGCTTCATGCCAAAATGTCTACAGAGTTCCATGCCAACATGTCTACACAGATTCTGGCCGAAGATGATCAAATTCACGTTCATGATGAACCAAGTATGGCGATTATTGATACTCCGATGTCCAACCATGTGTACCACTTGACGCGGCATCATTCTGAGCTTGTCGGAAGCGGTTGGAACCTCCCTATCGACCACTGCCGCCATATCTTGAATTTCCCCGCTGGTAACTCTACGATTTTCATTTCTGGTTTTCTCAACAATTTTGGTGTGCCTTCTTTCTAACGTCCTCGTCCTTGATAGAAATCCTAAGAATGATACTACAATGTATTTTGACGCTCAATAAGGGCGAAACCATCACACCAGAAATTTTCCGAGGCACTTCGAAGCGAATTTATGCCGGATGCAAAGCCACATACAAGACCTCCCATCGTGCCCAGTACTCAACACAATACACCTATAGCCAAAGATATGACAACAAGGGGGCGTATCTTGAGATTCAAGCATTGTTGGGTCGCCTTTCGATTGATGCCACCTGTCTTCGAGCTTGCAGAATATTCTGTCAGATAGGATCGCCGGTCTTGTACGGTCTCAATACCTTTAAATTCAAGATGGCTAACGTCCACGGTCTGAATGCTCCTGCTTTCCTGGTGGAGCCAAGCTCTGGAATACTTCTCCATCCTAACCCCAACAAACCAGGACGATATCGCTTGCTCGGGGAGGTCAAAGAGGCCATCAAGCAAATAGAGTATCACAGACCACTTCGAATACTCTCTAGCTGGGTTTATTATGATCCATTCTTGAGATTTCTCCATGCCATCGGTCCCCGCAATGCGTCTTTGATCACCCACCTTGCCTTCACCGGCGTTGCCAAACTTCATACCTGCGAATTTGGTCCTCATGTGCCACTACCAGGCTGTTTCCTCTGTTCCGATGATTTGGTCCAAAGTGGCAGATTCTACACAAACTTCATCACCAAGTTCTGCAGTAGTCTCTTCCAGTTGACACTTATTCCTAAGGAGGATTGGACTGCTTTGGATTTTCCCACCAATCCCCATGATTTGCCTGATTGGCAAGCCAAGACAATGGAAGAAGCAGTCACAAAGCTCCTCAGAGAATCCATCTCCCGTATCAAGACTCTCCGAAGACTCAATGTTTTAGAGGTGGACTGGGACTGGTCAAAACCAAGTTTTTGTAACAAAGCTGATCACATCGACAATTTAATCTACGGCATGCGCCCTATGGATTTTGCGAAACCTATTATACCCGAAGTCTTGAGTGAAATATCTAAAAGCGCAGTCACAAATAGCCGCCCAAATCGATCCGGTCAAGTAACTCATTACAAGAACAAGAAGAGAAGTGCCTGTGGTTTTTACGGAGAAAATCACAAATGGAATAAGTGCTGTAACTTGTGTAGTGCTTGCGGAGAATACAGCCATTTCAAGCAAACTTGCCCTAACTGGACGAAGCTTTATAGAGATATTCCGCGTGGTAGATATCTAATACAACGTCTCTAAACTTAGGCTTCTTTAGGTCTTAATTAATTCGCTTAGCTACTACGGGGTCTTGTAGGTACTACCTTAATCGATATTATAACATGGAAGGGGTAATACTAAGGAACATAATTAATTAAGAAAGATACGTTAAGGTAGTAAAACTAAGACGAGAGTTTATTAGACGCGTATACTTAAATAGTAAATTAACTCTTTTTTTCTTTTTTTACTCTACTACTACTAATGAACTGTGAGAGGCCTCCCCCCACCACCCACGGCTACTAGCGCAACATGGACCAACTACACGCCAAGCAAAAAGTGGGAATGGCCTGAACTCACAAGAACTGAATTAGAGTACGCATGCTCTTCAAAGATCCTATCAAAATCGCCAGGGCCAGATGGAATCACACAAGACATCATTACTAAAGCCTACGAAGCTATCCCTGAAACCTTCTTCTGTGTCTACGCTAGGATGATTAACACAGGGTACCACCCCAAGTGCTGGAAAGAAGCAACTGGAGCAATTCTACCAAAAGCCAACAAAGACGACTACTCCCACCCTAAATCCTACCGAATCATCACTCTCCTGAATTGCCTAGGCAAAGTCGCTGAGAGAATTATAGCACAACGCCTCAGCCACCTCGCAGAGACCACAGACCTCCTCCACTCCTCACAAATGGGGGGAAGACTCAAAAAGTCTGCCATCGACGCTGCTCTTCTACTCACAAACGAAGTTGAGAATCACAAGAAGTACGGATGGAAAGCCTCCACCCTGTTTATCGATGTCAAGGGAGCCTACGATCACGTAGCCAAGCAACGACTCTACAGGATTCTCCAAGAACTACAACTCCCCACCAACCTAATAGCATGGGTATCAACATTCCTCAACCAACGTAGGCTACGACTCGCTTTTGACGGTCAAATCCAGGAGTTCTCACCTAACAACTCTGGGGTACCACAAGGCAGCCCTGTATCTCCAATCCTGTTTCTCATCTACATTCGCGACCTTTTCAAGTCTACTACAATTACATGGATCTCCTACGTCGACGATATTTCCCTTACAACAGCCTCCCGCCACCTCAAAAACAACATTAAAAGACTAAAAGCAGAAGCCACGAAACTCTACAGGCTAGCAAATGAGAACAGCATTGCCTTCGACCTCGATAAAACAGAACTCATACACTGGACCAATTCAAAGGACACAGAAGAATTCACACTCAACCTCCCCAACCACCAAACCGTTCACCCAAAACAATGCATTAAGTGGTTAGGCATCTACTTTGACCCAGCACTATCTTTTAAGCACCACGTCGCTACCAAGGTAGCAAAAGCTAGAGGCGCATTTTTCAGGATGTCAAGGCTAGCAAACAACTCCAAAGGACTTACACCCTTTGCCCTCCGGCAGCTGTACACAGCATGCGTTACAAGTATCGCAGACTATGGGTCAACCATCTGGTGGCGAGGCCAAGCACAATTCACTACTCTACTTCAAAAACTCCAAAACCTTGCAATTAGAAAGATATTAGGGGTTTTCAAAACCACTCCTATCCTCCCAATGGAAGTAGAAAGCGCCCTCCCACCTCCTGAAGTTCGCCTCTCCTCCTCCTTGAGGATGTATGCTTTCCGTCTACTCAAACTCTCACCATCACACCCAGTCAACCACGCTATCGACAAGCTCCTCAATACTCAAGCAACTCCAAGGAAAAAGAAGCCGGCAACTCCTCAACTACAGCGAATCCACCGCTCTATTAGCAACTTATACAACCTTGAAGACCTTGAGCAAATACACCACTTCCACTTCCCTCCATGGGAAAGAGAAACTCCTTACAAGGTTCACATTAGCAAACTTTCAAAAGAAGAGGAAACTAAACTTCACCTTCGTCTACTCCAAAACAACTCAGATAACAGCATTTTCATCTACACAGATGCATCCTCTACAACAACAGAAAATAGCCAAGGAATTGGGGTAGGTTTGTCTGTAATCTCACCTCAATCAAACAGAATCCACTACGAAAAGAAAGTCAACATTGGACCAAACAAGCTCGTCTACAACGGTGAAGTTGAAGGGGCCACGCTAGCAGTTGAATACGCTGCCAAGCACGCTAGACCAGGGATCCATTTCCACATCTACTCCGACAACCAGGCAGGTTTACGGAGGCTAAAAACCACATCAGATAACCCAGGGCAAGAGTGCCAAATCAGAGCTATCACAGCTGCCCGGAAGGCAGTTAGCAAGGGAGCTACTACCACAATTCACTGGGTACCAGGTCACACCGACATTCCAGGAAATGAGAAAGCAGACAAGCTTGCAAAAGCCGCCACCACAATCCAACCATCCACTCAACTCACTAGCTTTGCTATGCTAGGAGTCAAGATCAGGCAGACCCAGAACAAAGAATGGCGTCAAAAGCTTACTACACCCCCCCGGCACACAGAACCATCAACTAACCAACACTCGTATCGAAGGGAATTCCCATGGAAGATTCTGTCGAAACCTTGCGTCCCCCAAGGAACAAAAAGAGAGATAGCCAGCGCCTTTTATCAGCTTAAGCTAGGCCATGGATACTTCAAATCATACCTACACAAGCTCGGCCACACTACCAACAACCGCTGTAGATGTGGAAGACAAGAGACTCCCACTCACCTCCTTCTTAGCTGTCCAGAAACTGGGGATGCTAGGAAAGTACTAAAGCGCAACCTCCTCAAGCATCATATTCGAGAGTTCACCATGAAATCCCTCCTTCACACCGCCAAAGGAGTCGAGGCCACACTTGACTTTATTCGAACCACCAAAATCGCCACTAGAATATGGCACACACAACGCGCAACTGAGGATGAGAACGAAGATGAGGACGAGGAAGACGAGGACGAGGAAGACGAGAACGAGGAAGTGTAGCGTACAGGGCGTGAAACGAGGGGGCGTACTACAACATAACAACTTTTCTTTTGTCATAACCAGAAGCCTAGCTGCTTCCAACAACCCAAGAACTGTAATGACCATAACCCCCTTCTCAAACATGTATTTAGTACAGCTTTACTCATCTGTTGGAGGGAAACCCCCAGCCGTGCTACTATAGTCTCAGACTCACACAGCACGTTAAAAATAATAATAATAATAATAATAATAATAATAATAATAATAATAATAATAATAATAATAATAATAATAATAATAATAATAATAATAATAATAACTGTGAGAGGCCAGACCTCGAATAGCTCAAAGGTGTGGTTTCGAATATTCAATTAAGAAGTGCGTGAAGACTACATACATGCAATCTCTTCCTCTATATAGAGAGAGAGGAAGAGTTTCTGGAGTCTTCCAAGAAACTGTTTGACAAATACGTGACGTCAAAAGAATAGAGTAGAAAAGTGTAGAAAAGGAGAAACCAATTTAGCAGTGGAGCAATCGCCAATGCTGAGCGGGGACTTTGGTCAGTGCTTAGCGAGGGCATGGCCCGAGCCTCCATCATGGGTTCCAACCCTCACATGAACCTTTTAATATAAGTTAATCCTTTATAAATATTATAAAACTAATAGCAAGACTAAGGATTTACTTAGCTATATACTAGATATTAGTATTCTAAGTAGTAAGAGACCTTAGAAGACGAAAATATTAAGTTTTTAAGGAAATAGTCTATAAATAACGTTAAATAAAGGTTTTTTAGTTATCTTTTTATATAATACTAGTTCTCTAAGTAAAATAGAGAATCTAAGCTAAAGTATAACTTATTATAGTAGTATACTAGTAATAATATCTTTATTTACTTTATTTAGTACCTATATTCTTAGTTTAGTCTATAGTGTTACGGAGTTGGAGGAACTAGGGGTTGATCACGTGTAGCGCAGCATGTAGTATGTGTCACGTGCGCGCTGCTGGCATCCTGTATTTAAGCTCTCGTTCCTCTGGAACTCTCTTCCTTCCTCACTTTGTTGTTCGCTCAATACAGCAGTTTCCGTTTGACTCCGTATTCATCACAGCAAGCAGTGGTTCACTCCACACGGTTACATATAGTCTAAGTAGTAGTAGAGGTAGTAGTACTTAGCTAAACGTAAATAGTAGTATAATAAGTAAAGCTCTAAGTATATCTAAAAATGGGTTTTAGGGTTCTTAGGTAATAGTTTATTGAAGAATAGGTAGAGGGGAAGTACTATAGTCTCTAGAGTATAATCTACGTTTAATAAGTTATTTAGATAGAGATATATTTATAAAAATAGATAAGTAGTTATATATAAAGGATAAGAAAAGAGAAGATATAAATAGTAATAATTAAATTAATAAATAAATTCTAACAATAAGAAAGTAATAAAATACTATCTAAATAGTAAAGAATTATCTTAAAAAAGTTAACGTGCATGTATAGCGAACCGGCCAAACAAGCGAACCGGCCAAAACTTTCTACACTCGCGATTGAAATTGTAAGAACTCTACCACAACGCCTCTAATTAAAAAACACTATTCAGAAATTTCTTCCTCAGATACTTCCTCTATAATATTACAGGTGCGCGTATTATGACCAGTCTCTCCGCAGTCGCCACAGCGCCGTGCACGTGATTCTTCCCTCGGCTTCCGACCGCTACTTCTCTTTATTTCCTGCATTACCTGCTCACCAACGTCTCTATCATCCTGTAGATCCTGCGCTTCCTGTTGACTAAGTGATCCTCCTTG